AACTGTGACTGGGCTTGTCTGCTGGGGTCGCTGTGAAACCCCTGCGGGGCACCGTGGGGCCATATGTACTTCTTTGCCCCCATGGGACGTGGAGCCAACTTTGTTCTTATAGAAATGTTATGCTGTTTTTCTGATAAAGATCATAAACTGCTTGTCATAAGCTAAGTTTCCCCTGGTTTCTGTTTTTCTTCTCTAATCAAATTACCCCAACTGACACAAATTTAAGCAAATAGCTTCATTTCAGGTCACAGGACTTTGTGTTGCAATCAAGGATTTGAATGAAATTCCTGGCAAAATACAGTAATTAGAAGCACAATGAAAGCAGCCTCGAAATGTCCCAGCCTCCCACAGCACTAAGAGGCAGTCTGGTTAATTTCCAAAATTATATTTGGGCTCAACATGCAAAGGGTTCTTTTTCATTCGGGCAGAGAAAACAGGCCTGAAGATCATTACAATAACCACACAAGACTAGGAATGTAATTATAAAATAAACCATACCCTAGCAGGCAAATCATTTTAATGTGTTTTGAGGATTGAATATTCTGTATGGAATTAAAAACAAAGAAAAAAATCAACGTGCAGAAAATTAATTAAAAAGAGGTAAGACACAGAAAACCTTCGAGTGTCATAAAATTACAAATACAAAAGCAACAAATTAAAACACATACACACACACACAATTACAGGTTTTGGTAACATTAGTAGCCAGAACATACTCAGTGAATTGCATACTCGTCAAATATCTTACTGATTTTGAAAGGGGGGTGGGGGGGCTGGTGGTGATGATTAACTTCAGTTGACCCCAAAGGATCTGAGTCTTCCTTCCGCTGCTAGCGAACCTGTAAAGGTGGCATCAAGTCACTTTGCAAAGTGTTCCTTTGCTCAAAGAAAACTGACCCGGAAGGTTGATTCCCTCAGCCCTGCCCCACCACCACATCTGCACATTCGTTTACCTCTTTTAACTAAGGCAACCAAAAGACAATTTCTTGAGACCCCAACACACCCTCAGAAGCCATAAATTCCATTCCTGTTAAAAAAGAGAGGAATTAACTTCCAAGCTGAGGGCAGGAATTCTGTGAAGTGTGGGATGGTTCACTGCTACAGTGTGTTGAAATGTCTCTAAAAGGGGTGGATGGCAGTGGATGAAGACCCCGGCAAGCCCTGGGTTGAGCAGTGACCTGTATGAGAAAGGTGACACACGGGTCAGTCCTCAGGGATGGTTTCACCTCTGTACACACCGCTGAGGTAGGAGCTTCGCGAGAAAAGCAGAGTATCTTAAGGGAATGAGAATGTCATCTTGGCAAATCAGTGGCCTCTTGCTCAGTTGGGGGCCTAAGGCGGTCAGAGTCATAGGCCACGCGGGGCCACGCATGACCTTACAAAATTCAAGAGTTGTATCAGAACACAGCCACAGAAGGGAGTGAGATCCAAGACAAAGCCACTGGAGGCGGGCGAGACCCACAGGGCACCTGCTGTCTAGTGCAAGTTCAAGGGGGTGGAGTGGGGGACAGGGGGGTGACGTGGAAAACCCTGGCAGCAACCTACAAAACTGTTATTAGCAAATGGTATCAAAAAGTATCAAAACATTTCAAAAAACTTTAAAAACTGCCAGGCTTGGCAGACGTACAGGGAGGGATCTCCAAGTGCCCAGGGGGCTGCCCTGCACTCCAGAGGTTTATTCTGGAGGCCAGAACGCGGCCCCCTTTGCTCCCCACTCCACTGAAGACACTCAGAATCCATGGAGATGCCAAGGATGGAGCTGGCCCTCCAGAGGTGGGGGTGGTGGTCTGAGATTCCAGCCAAAAGCTTTGAGACACAGAAAGCCCGTGAGGTACTCCTTAGGCAGGTGCTGGCTAAGCCACATGCCATGGAGAACCAGAAAAGATGAAGGCTGATAACTCTACAAGGGGGTGGGGGTGGAGGTCTTTCACTTCCCGCGTTGCTGCAAACCATTGAAAGGTCACCCTGGCTTTGGGGCCAGGTATTGTGAACCGCAGGTTACAGCTCACAGCGTGGGACCTGGGACCTTGGACCTCAGAGCAGGGACTGGGATCCCATTCCCTTTGGCATTTGGGCTTCCACCCCAAACTGAAAACCCCTTAGGGTTAGCTTCTGGAGTTTCTACTAAGTCACCGTGAGGTCGCCTTATCGTTAAAGAGCAAGGGGAAGGGGCATTTAGAACATAATTACACACATAAGCCTTTCTGCTCAGATCAAGATCTGAAAGTCCTACCTGGCAGTCTTTCTAAAATGCTAAAATGTTAACACTCAACATCTAAGATGTTAAAAATGCCGAGTGAGCCATACGCACAAACAAGTTGCTAAGACAACCTCTGTATATTTAGCAGGAAGACCACTCTAAGTATCAAGGACTCCCCAGCTTTCTAGTCTCCTCCCTTCTGGTATTACATTTATGTCTTAAGCAAACAGGGCTCCAACTTGGGTGACGATCAAACTCCAAGCATACAATGGATGCGAAGCTACAACTCTAGTTCTTTAAAAGTGAGAGAAAAATAAATCCTGAATGAAAGCCCACTCTGCTTATTCTGAAAGATCAAAAGAAATGATTTGGGTGTTCTCAAAGTTCTCAAAGGCAGCAAATGGTGCTGTTGCGTCTCAAGATGATGGCCCGTAAGAACCCAATCTTTGTCACTGGGCTTGGAAACCACTACCAGGATTCTTCAGTTCAAATGGCCACCTCCAAGAGTACAGCCCCAAGTTCTGCCCATCTGGGTTAAGAAGCATTTCCTTCCATCCTCAGTTGGACAGCACAGCAGAGCGATTGCCATAACAACATGGGCAGCAGATACCCATCATGGGTCCCATCACGGTGCAAATGCTGCTCACCAGTCACAATGTTCCTTTCCATCAACACAGATAAGCTCAAAAACCTTTCTTAGCATGGGGAAACCACCTCCAGTTATTTGAAGCTCATCCATGAGAAGAAACTCATCAACCTTACCTTTAAAAGAGCCCTAACGATATTAGATTCCAAGCCACATAAATGACAAACTGCCTTCACAGTGGCAGGAGTGACACCACAAAGTATGAGGTGCAGGACATGGTATGGAATCCACAAGGCACAAGAAAATTTGAATATCGACCAGCACTGCACCCGTATCTGGGGATAGGTCACGGTAGTCAAAAATACAATGGCTGGCTTCGGCTAAACACTGAAGGCTCTCCTCTTCCCCAGGTCAAAGCCATCCTGCTCCCCAAAGTACACATGGAATCTGTGTGCTTTTCCCCACCTGTCCCCAGACTCTGATTCAACAACCACCTCTTTGTGACTTAGACCACAGGTACCATGCCTTCTAATGGGTCCTCTAATAATAAAATCTTTCCTGGAATAGGAAGAGGGTAAGCTATACCAAAGTTGGCAGAAGTTCTGCAAAACGTGGTTTGTGGAGGGCTGGACAAGGTATGAGACCAAAAAAAAGTTGCAGGCTCAATGAAGTTTGGAAATGCTGGATTGACAGAAAGTTAACTGCTAAGTTACCTCAGGACTTCTCAGAGCCTTTAATACACTCAAGTATTGTAGAGCTCCAAGAGGATTTTTGGTTTGATTGTTGGCATGCCTTGCAGAACCTCTAGGGACTTCCATGTGCACAAGCTAGCTCAGTCAGCAGAACCCTTGCTCTGCTGACAACAGAGGGCAAGGATTTAGGTACTGAAGCTTTCAACGCCCCCTCCACTCAAAATCACAGTAATCCCTTAAAGGAAAGAAAAAGAAGTACAGTAAAGAGATAGTTTTAAAAAAAAAAAGTAAATAAGTTAACTGGGATTCATAGTCTAATATCAAGGTTAACAAGAGATCTTGAAGTGTTCTCTGCTATGTGATCTTTGTCAAAATGGAGATCACGAACACCTCCCTCGTCCCTGTGTCCACAGCAGCTGGGGCAGGAGTCCCCAGCTGGCCTCTGAGGGCACATGCTGCTAGGGGTTCCTACAGAGATCAGCGCACGGCGCTCACACATGGCAAAAGGAGGTGCCAAACACACGTTAATAGCTTATATGTACTGAATTAGCTCGCTGAGCCCTGGGAGGCAGTGGGTTTGACCAACTGCTCGATGAGTGAGGAACAGCTAGGACTTGGTGAAGAATTTGCTCAGCAGACGACAAAACGACTTAGCAGCAGACGGCTGAGTTGGGCGGGGGGGGGGGGGAAGGGGGGTACCTGACATCCTCCTTCAGGAGCACATTGTGCTCGGCTTGCTCATGGAGGTGCTCTTGAGGGCTTCGTGGAGCCAAGCCAGAGAAAACAACGGCAAATTCTAGGATGCCCACTTTTTCTTTCCTGAGAAGCAAACATAGATTTTGGGGGCTCAGTATGTCGGTAGCATAAGGAAGTGAGTTCGGGGGGGGGGGAACAACAAAAGAGCACAAATAACAGAAAAATGTAAGAGCTTCATGCCCCCCCCTTTTTTTAAGTTCCTTGATTACCTAGACCCTTTCAGAACCCAGGAAGATAACCAATCAGGAAAATGGGACTATTCAGAAACAACAGTCACTGTTTCAGGAAATCCTGGTGGGAACATCTTCTGGTGAGAAGTTTCAGGTCTTGCCTGACTGTCCAGGGAGTGGGCAACCCACTCACCCTGCCGGGGTCTCTGTGTCCCCAAACATAAACACAAAAGCACATGACGTTGCCCAGGATTGCCAAAGGTGGCTCATGCTGTCATCCTGGGAACTGGTTATAGTTTCCAGGCACCACCCCCTCCGCCCCTGCTCCTGGTAGTTTTAGGACGGATAATTCTGAGGTGGGGCCCAGGAATCTGTATGTTTAAAAGATCAGCCAAGTTGAGGGAGGCGGGGACTGGGGATGGGAACTGTCCCACCAAGCCCCCTCATTTTACTTACAAAACTTTCTGCATATCCTCTGCCCTTGGAGACTCTCAGGGCACCCTCAGGGACTCATAATGAGGGAGGAAGCCTCACACAGATACAAGGGGATATTTCCTGCCTGGGCCCGGGTTTAATTATTCAAGCAAGATGATATGTAAAATTATATAGAATATTTAATCAGTTACTGTGATATCATAGAAAGACCAAGAATCATAAAAGTAAAAAAAAAGCTGCTAAGAAGTCCATCATGGTTCCAGGATGCTGCGAAGTCGTGGCTGGTGGAGACGCTCCGGCGGGTGGGGGCAGGGAGCGGAGCCCAGCCAGGCGCAGGTGCAGGCGGGACAGGGTTGTGGGGAAGGGGGCGGGGAGAAGGGCGGTCACTGGCCCCGGTCCTGGTGCCTCTTGCCCTTGCCCTTCTTCTTCTTGTCCTCCAGCCGTGGCCTCAGGGCACACACGCAGGCGGACACACCAGCAATGGCCTTGGGCAGGTCGACGCCTTTGCTCCACTTGTCTTTCTCACGGTCGTACACCTGCACCGTCTTGGAGAAGGCTGTGTTCTCCCAGCTGTAGCCGCCCAGGATGTAGATGCGGCCCTCCCACACGGCCACTCCTGACTCGCTGTTGGCATGCAGCAGCGGTGCCACGCGGGTCCACTGGTTGCACTGCGGGCTGTAGGCCTCGACACCCAGCACGTCGAAGCGCTCCATGGACTCGATGCTGTCGTCGCTGCCGCCGATGGAGTAGATGCTGTCTTCCAGGCTGCACATGCTGTGCCAGCCGCGCGCCGTGGTCATGGGCCGCCGCTCCTCCCACACGTCTGTTCGGTGGTCGTAGCATAGCAGGTTCTTGCGGTAGGGGCCAATCTGGTAGTCGTGGCCTCCAGAGATGTACACGAAGTCTTTGTAGATGGTCCCTGCATGGCCGTAGGTGAACCTGCGGGGAGACGGCGGGACAGACAGAGACAGACAGGGAGCTCAAGGCCATGCAAGGCTGGCGCCGAGGCTTTGTGCTTCTCCCCTGTGAAAGGGGGACAACCTGCAATCTTGGGGGCTGTGGGAATCTGATGAGACCACATGCACACTGGTCAGCAGCTGTCGCTGGTAAGAACGGCAGAGTCGGGGTTGGGGTGGAGGGTGCAGTAAATGTGTATGCAGCTCAGCAGTCACACCACCTGGGCCCAGCCCCACCTCCGCTCTCCCCCAGTTTGGGAGTGGCAGTGACTGTGGGGCTGATCCTTCCTATAAGAGCTGAAAACAAGGACACTGTGGGATTGAGGCACACACAGGTACCTGATCCAATTATAAAGCAAAGGGAAGGAAACAAAGTACAATTCCAACTCCATGACATTCTGGAAAAGACTACAGGGATGGTGAAATATTCAAGGGTGCAGGATGGGGGGAGCCTGTGTTGAGGGTGGGATGAACAGGAGGAGTACAAGGGATTCTTAGGGCCGTGGAACTACTCTGACACTGTAAGGAAGGGTGGATGAGCGTCCCCACACATCTGTCCCGAACCACGGAACATACAGCATGGACAGCGAGCCCTCAGCGTGGGCCTCCTTTAGGGCAACGTGGCCACTTGGGTGCATCAGTTGTAACAAACATAGCGTGGCTACTTCGAGATGTTAACAATGGGGGGAAATATGCTCTGAGAAGGTCTACAGGAACAATTTATACTTTCTGCTCGATTTTCAATTTTCTCTGAAAAGTGCAGTTTGTATAAATACAAAAAAGAAAATTACAAAACCTAAGTGCAGAGCAGGTCACAAGGGAGGTGGGCAGTGGCTGCAGGTGGGGAATGTCTGGGAGGGCAGCCCCAGGGAGCCAGGAGGCACCGCGTAGCGCCTCCGCTCTCAGGTCAGGCTGCAGGCTCATGCACCCACTGGTGATCACAGCATTTCGGGCTATGTCTACTCCAACCTTGTACACCTCAGGCTCATTGAGAAAGATAAAACTAGGGTTGTTAGGAGTATTTAGGGATGGAAGTCCCACCAGCTGGCCCAGAGAAAGAGCAGCAGATACTCTTACTACTACCGTTAAGGCTCCCTTCTCCATCTGCGAAATGGGAGGATAAAAAACACTTCTAAACCCAGGGAGATCAAAGGTCTTGGTCTGCCTATGAAATGGTCAGTATTTACACTGTTAACCTTCCCTGTTCACTGCCATCTGGATTTGGGAGACAAATTATATGGGCGCCTACCTCCACCCCACCAGGTCACCGTGAGCCTCAAGGGACTCGTCACTCCTGGCCCAGGGATGGTGCGTGCCATTTGGGAACCACTATGCCTATTGTCAGAGATGTTACTCCATCCACTTCCTGGAACCTCTACTCGAAGAGGGTAGCAACAGGACCGGAATTCACAATCTAATGCTTACATCACATGTCCTTCTAGCTCCTGGGGACACATGCAAGACAGCTGCCTGCATTCCACCATAAGACTGGTTCACGAAGCGTGCTTGCAGGTTCAACTATCGAGGGACTGGCAAAATAAACAGCAAGCACCTTCTGCTAGATCCAGGATGATGAGCAGTGGTCCCAAGTGCATACCTCAATGCAGGGAGACTGAGGAGCTCCGAGCCCCAGGGCACTCCCCAGGTGCTGGGTGCTGTGGGTGGGAGGGTGCTCCTAAGGAACATATCACACTGACAGCCCTATGGGGCAAGTGTTACCATGTCTGCTATACAGATGAAGTAAGAGAGCAGAGTGAAAATGCTGGCTCAGCTCACAGATCCATCATCTCTTGAACCCAGGCCCACACTCAGAGACATTTCTAGGGAAAGCCTTACTATCTGCTGAATACTCTCTCCCTGAAACTCTGGAAGTAAACAGGCTCAGAAACTGGGGGACATTTGCCTTAGCAGCAGAGCTGACTCTTGTGCCTGGATGGTCTAAAACCAGTGCCCTGACTCGTCATCACCACGCCCTCTGCCCCCACGGTCTACCCATGGTTATTTACAAGCCAGGAGATTTTCTTCCCCCTGGAATTAGAGACCAAAAAATCTAGAAAATGAGGTGAACAAAGTCATCACATTTGAGGAGTTCATGACAAACCACCCCCAATCACCTTGGCAAGCCGGCCACATAGGACCAGGAGTCGGTCTTGGGGCTGTAAGTCTCCACCGAAGAAAGAGCTCCATTCTCATTCCGGCCACCAACGGCCACCAGCATGTCTTCAATGGAGGCCAGGTAGAAATCCACACGGCGCTGGTTCATGGAGGCCACCTGTGGAGGCGGGACACCTGTACCTTCCCTTCTCAATACTCAGACAACATCAACATCTAGCACTGAGTTCCCAAATGCATCCTCCGGAACACACAGCCCAGGAAGGTCAAGCAGCGGCCAAGTGTGTTTGGGAGAAGGAAGTCAAACTCAGAGAAAGAGGGGCTCTTGAGATGAGACTTCTCAGAGCTTGCAAGACCCTTGAGGTGTTGCAAGTCCCCAAGAAGGGGATCGAGAACATAGTTCCCCTAACTTGTTTGGCCACATGGCTGGCCATGTGGCTGACCTTGTGGACTCGAGTTCCACAGTACAGTTCAGAATTGCCAGTTTAGTGGTTTCCCGGAATAAAAATCCATCTTCCTTTCGCTCCTCCCCACATCAGACCCTATTAACATTATCGTGTGGACAGCAATCAATGGGAAACTAAAAACCAGAAGACCCCGCCCCAGTTTTTAAAAAATAATTCAGGCAGAACACAGAAATGAACACAGTCCCGGAGGAGACCATACCTTTAGCTGCCACGGCCACAAAGCTCCAAAGCTGGGAGCCTCTTTCTAGTGGTGGGACTTACACTTTAGAGGGCGCTTTTTAGTTTTTGAGAATAAAACAGAAAGGTCATTGGAGTCCATTCTGAGTTTTGTGCTCAAAAAAAATAAAGCCTGATCAAGTTAAGTAAAAACACTGAGGTGTGAGTATAAAGACAGACCGGTTTTTTAGGGTGGTGGCCTGGGGAGGCTTTTGTGAGGAAAAGAGCCACCTTGTCTATGCCAGGTGTCGGCCAACCACCATGAGCTACAGCCCCTCACTTCAGAATGTCAATACCCTCCCCACCCCGTTTCTAGAGGCGGGAGCCAAAACTTGGAGAGTGAGGAAGCAGTCTGAAATCCCCAGCTCCAACCTAGCCAAGCTCGGGTGTGGACTCGGGTCTGGCGCCAAGACTCATGCTTCCCAGAATTTGCCACACCTGCCAAAGGGCCACAGCTACCACCAGGTGTGAGCCTTTGTGACCTCCGTAAACGAGCTCCAAACCCTTCCAAAAAAGAGAGCTCCAGGGAGACTCTGAGACAGGGGAACAACGTTTGAACCCTGGGTCAAATCTCTAGGCCGGCACCACCCAGCAGCAGCCATTAGCTCGTGTGGCCATTTACTTTCAGACATAAATTAGTAAAGATGAAATAATATCGAGAACTCAGTGTTTCAGTGCCACTGGCCACATTTCAAGTGCTTGATCACCACACGTGGCTGGAGGCTAGGATGGCGGACAGCACAGGTGTACAACATTTCTACTGCCGTGGAAAGTTCTATTGCACTCACTCTGGTCAGGGTGCAGGCATGAACCACGTGGCTCATAACTTTATCGTCACACCTTGTGCAGAAGCAAGACAGCGGCCAAGGCCTGAGAGAAGGGGGGCAGTCGGGGCTAGGCTAAGAGACCAAAAGTCCTCAAGAATAAAGAAATAATCTGGCTTTAATCTCACCTTGATCCACTGTTTACAGCGGGGGTCATACCTATAAAGAAGATTGGACGCTGCATCCCCTCCATTGTCCCGTGAGAAGCTGCCACCAGCGATGAAGATGAAGCCCCCCAGCACAGCGACACAGTGGTGGCTCCGCCGGGCTGGCAGGGGCGTCTCCTTGACCCACTGCTCGCTCTTGGCGTCCAGGTAGCAGGTGTCATCACTAAGCTCCAGACACCGCTCGGAGACCTCGCCACCCACGAACAGCAGGCGCTCCTCGTTGGTGCGCAGTGCCGTGCGCTTGGTCTGCATGACTGGCTGGGCTGCCAGGCTGTTGTGGTAGCACACGGCCTCCTCGATGAAGCCCTCGCAGTTGGCCTCCCGCGGCAGCAGTGAACACACGGCCGGCTTGACGCGGTGCAGCAGGTCGTTCTTGGGGATGAGCGGGAAGTGGATGTTCTCCAGCACCTGGTAGGCATGGGCCTCGCGCTCGGGCTGCTGCGTCAGCCACTGCAGAGCTGCCTGCAGAAGGTCATGCTCGCATTCCCGCTGCACCTCACTGCTGCTCAGGTAGACGCAGAGCTTCTGCATGGAGATGTTCTGCAGGAAGTCGGGCGTGAAGGACAGCGTGCCAAAGCGGCTCAGGATGAAACCATCGATGAAGGCGTCGAGCCGCTTGAGGCTATAGATGGAGGCCAGCTCCTGCAGGTACAGGTAGTTGTCCTCGCTCACCTCCTGCTCCAGGTACTCACAGCAGAAGTCCACCGCCGTCCAGATCTGCAGCAGGTGGGCCGTCTCCAGGATGTAGTCGATGTTGCCGCCGTCCAGCGCCAGCTCCCCGCCGTACAGGAAGTCCACCACAGCCTTGAGCCCGATGTAAGAGGCGCCAATCAGCTCCACCTCCTTCTGGAAGGCCTCACGCATGCCGATGGTGAACATGGAGTTGAAGTAGTCGCTGCACACGGCCAGTAGGTTGCGGTGGGCTGGCACGCGCTGCTCGTCTGCCACCAGGACAATGTCACAGAAAAGCCCGCGGAGGCGCTGCTCATTCAGCCGCTGCAGCACCGTGGTCGAGTGGTCGGCCCAGCGGTACACCTGTGGCAGAGAGCACGGCTCAGGGGTTGGCTCACAGAGGGCTGGGGGGGGGCAAGGACTGCTGAAGCATGCCAATCCCCTCTCCCACCCAGCCCTGTGCCCCACAGCAGGGTCCTGGGGTCAATCTCCTGCCCCAGCACTAGCACATAAATATAATACAACGAAAGAGAACAGAGGATATCAGGGGATAGTGGGTCAGATGGCAGTGCAGGAAATAAGGGTGTTCCTGTGTGTATTGTAGATCCTAAATGCAAATCCTAAAGCAGAGCCTGGCTGGCTCAGATGGAGGAGCCTGAGACTCTTATCTCAGGGTTGTGGGTTCGAGCCCCAAGGTGGGTGTAGAGATTACTTAAAAAAAAAAAAAAAGCCTTTAAAAAGAAAATCTAACCTACCATCTCCCTTCCTACCTACCCCTACTTTCCTTCTTTATAAATACAATTCCTAAAGACTTACTTTCTCTTCCTCTCATCCTTCCTTCCTCTCTTCTTTCTAGAATAGAATTGCTCAAAGTTTTCTTTCTCCTCTCCCTGCTCCCTTTCCTTCTTACTGTGGATCCTGAGCAAATAGGTTTAAAAACTGCCATCCTTTCAGGACGGTGAAGTTGCTCAGGTGCAGCCTCTACACTCACAGAATCTGGTTTGAATCCCAGCTCTGCTACTCACTAGCTGTGTGACCTTGGGAAAGCCACAAGAAGCCTCTCAGCCCCCTTTCTCTGGCCTCATGAATGAGGATGCGGGCATTTACCACTGAGGAAGGGGGTTAAGGAGACAGAATGTGACACGGAGCTGGCCCCAGGAGAGCTGGAGTTCCAAGGCCTCACACTGCTCTCTCTGGGTCTCAGAAAGTGCTCAGCCCCCAGGCATGCTACAGAGGATCCCATTTCTACCAATGGGTCCAGGGATGTGGCAGGTCCCAGACACTCTGCAATGCATCTAGACAAAGGTGCTCTGGGGCTCCTACTTTCAGAAACAGGGCCTCCCTAGTCATTGCTGAGATTAAGAGAAAGAAATCACAAAATGCGCAGGAACATGATCTTTTTCCCAGGGCAGGGCTTACATGCATCCTGCACTGTGCCCTGGATATGCGCTCCCATTCAAGGGTTACAATGACTCTTCAAGGGAAGGTCTGTTACCATGCCCATTTCCCAGATGACAAATACTGAGGTTTGGAGACTAGGAAACTTGCCCAAAGTCCCACAGTGACTGAGTGGCAGGCCTGGAGTTTATTTATTTTTTATTTTTTATTTTTTTTAATGTAATGCTTATATATTTTTTAAAAGATTTTATTTATTCATGAGAGGCACAGAGAAAGAGAGAAAGGCAGAGACACAGGCAGAGGGAGAAGCAGGCTCCATGCAGGGAGCCCGATGTGGGACTTGATCCCAGGCCTCCAGGATCACTCCCTGGGCCGAAGACAGGCACTAAACCACTGAGCCACCCAGGGATCCCCAGGCCTGAAATTTAAAGCTAGGTCTGATTCCAGAACTGAAACTTAATTGCCATACAGCACTGGAATTAAATCAATTAATATGAAAAATTAAAAGAATCAACTCAAGCAATTCAGGCTGGGTGAGACATTTATTGAGGGCTGTACACCTGCCATGTGTTTTGGAGAATGCAAAGACCTGCCAGACCAAGACACCAGTTCCTCCATCCTTGGAAGACAGATTAGGCTCTGGGCGTTGAGGATCTGCATGCTGCTTGATTTATCTGCATTGGAAACACCACGAAATTCAGCACAGGGAGACAGAGACTGTCCAAACACATCCACGAGGTTGTTGGCCTACTTGAAGACGTCTGAGGAAAGGGCTGGATGGGCTCTAAGCCCGCAAGGAGAAGTGGTGTAGGTGGGGGGAGATGGGCTGAGGCCCCAGTAGGTCCCCGGGTTCCTTCTAGGTCACTTCTTCACCTGTGCCCTATTGCATGGGTTACATCACCTTCTTTGCTTTCTGCCTCCAACACATTTGTGATTGTGGTATTTATTTCCCTCTGGTCCCCTCTGGTCTGGCCACTTCCAACACCAATCACCTCATCTAGATCACAAGTGCAGGCGACGTTCTCACACTCTGATGAGGACACCAGACAGATAGTGCCCAAAGCTTCCTTCCCTTCCAAGTGCCGAGACCCAGGCTCTTCAGCTCTTATGTTACAGGATGGTTTCTCAGAGGTCCCTGACATGGATCTCTCCATCTATTCTGGTTACTGGCAGCGAGAGCCAGGCTGGCCTAGTTTGGGCTTCTAATTAAGCAGAAATGGTCTGGGCTCCAGTACACTCTGGCTTGGGGCCCCTCACTCTGGCATGTGGACTGAAGGGAGGGAGTATGAGAGCACTACGGCAGCAGGCTACCTCACGATAGCAAAGGTTCAAAGTCCTGAGAAGCGAGGGGCACCTAGTGTGTGATCTGCCCGTCCTGGGCCCCTGGCTGGCTCTAAGCTGGGGGGAATGTGGAACCACCACACTTAAATGGGTGTACACAGGACCCTCATCTGCAGTGTAAAAAGAGAAACAGACCCCTGCGGGGGGGTGAAGGGTGGGGACAGCCCCAGATGACAGCTGCAGAGGGGACCATCTGCTCCAGTGAGCCAGGGCAGGGAGAAGGGCAGCCACTCTTTCTAAAACTGGGTCTCCATGCTAAGTACGCATGCTTCAGTCTTCACCTGGGTCTCTAATTACAACCCTTTCCTGGTTATTTCAGTGTAGCTGCAAAGGTGAAAACTTAGACAAACGTGCTTTCTCAAAGGGACATTAGTAACAGTCTCACAGCATTTCCTATAATTTAGAAGCCCCAACCCCAACATTCTTTGATGGTATTAAACCTGTTCATTCATTTATTTCCTACTTTAGTGCCTTCATCAGAGGCGAGGCAAGGTGGGTGAAGGAACACAGGCACTCAGCAGCTAACCTTAGCCAGAATACAGCAGTTATGGCGTATTTCATTAAAAAAAAAAAAAATTCACCATCAAAATGGATGAAGACATTTCAGAGCAGATAAACAAAGAGTGGCCATTACACGATAGAAGACTCTAGTGCACTGAGAAGGAACTACTTCCCACTACACACACCAACAGGAGTGAACACCAACCATACTAATCGGTGAGAGGAGCCAGGCACCTGGGTGTATCCACCTCTGGTCCCATTTACATTAAGTTCAAGGGCAGGCAAAACTCCAGTCCTGAAGCTGGAGCCTGGGACCAGGGTTCTGGTAATATTCTTTTGTAATCTTGGTACTGGCTATATGGATGTATTTAACAGCTAGGAAATCGAGGATATGCTTACCATTTGGGCTTTTAAAAGGTAAAAAAGTGGAAACATAAATACAATCTAACCAAGGGCTAGGTTCAGACAGAAACAAACTCAGAGTGCGGCTGCTGTAAGGGACAAAGATTTCTAGCGCTATCACACTGAGAAAGCTACACTGTCTCTGCAGCCAGGGTCCGAAACAAAGCCTCTTTGAGACAGCCGCTAGACCTCTCTGGGTTTTCACAGCAGATAAAGCTGGGCTTGGCAAGCGCCTTCTCTGTAACTCAGATGGAAACAGGAGCCCGTTTCTCTGGAGAACCAACCTCTCTTGCAAACTATACCCCAGTTTCCTTTATGCACATCTGTAGAACCTCTGTCCCTCCTCTCCCCTCAAATCTACAGGCTGCTCACAACTCCCCTTATCTACAGTGGTATTCCTTAATCTTTTTTTTTTTTCAATCTTCTCTTAAAATATTTTTTCCTAAGAGTTCCCATGAAATTTTAACACCACGTATATTCCGTATATCTGTGCATGAACTGTAGGTATAGCCATGCTCTCATCACAGAAAAGGGCTTTCTGTACCCCCAAGACCAGTTTTGCCCCCAAGGGGGCAATACTGGCTCCATTGAAAATGCATGATCTAAGATAACCATAAAATTTCATCTCCAAAAGGGCCACTTTTAAGGAAAACAGGCTGTTATTAGTATTTATTTACATTTATAGATGGACAGGTGTAAACAGGGCCTGTCCTGCAAATTGGTTCCCCGGTCCTTATTTCCAGTAGCTTGGGCGACAGGCTGCTCTGAGTCCCCTGAAGAGTCTGCTGAAGGTATAGATTCCCAGGTCCTGCTCTCAGATTTTAATTTAGCAGGTCTGGGGCTGGGCGGAGCATATGCATTTCTAATTAGGAACCCCCCCCCACCCCCCGGGGTGATCCCAATGTGACCAGTGAGGCACAGTTTGACAGCCTAGCCCTGGGGAACCCACCCTCACTTCCTCCTCCAATCCCAGAAAGTCACGACTAGGGGATGACTCTGGGTCCTTAAACAACCAGGTATGCAACACGTTGCTCCCACCATGAGGTCAGCCACTGGCTTGTCAAAGGACGTGTCCCCAAGTGGGGACAGAAATCCCGTGGCTTTTCTTCCATCCTATCCACCTCCTCAAGTTGAGGGCAGAGAACAAATGAGCCAAGGTGTCGCCCCTCCCTCTGAGTTGAGGATGTCTTCCATTCCATGCCCGTGTTACCTCTCCGTTCATCAAGGAGGTTAACACTACTGCCAAGAACTGAAAAGCAGTCTGTACGTTAGGAAAACAACTCATCAGAAAAACAGCACACTCCCAGGCAACCTACACAGGTGGCGAGTGACCGACCACTCACTGACCTTGGATGATTCGCTGATCTTGTACGGCCGTGACACTCGCGTCTGTCGGCTTCCCTCCATCATAAGAGAGACCGCAGCCCTAAGACAAGAACAGGATCTCTGAGTGTGTGAATAATAAACCCTAGACCATTCATGAATCACAGCTCTGCTGGCAGACGTCAATGACAACCAGCGTGCAAACAGTCACGTGAAGGAAAGAGGGAGAAAAGACTGTACACTGTCAAGAACTCTCGTATGTGGATTTTAAAAATCAGCTTAGAATCAGAACACCTAACGCTGTTCATTTGTGAACTAAAACCTGACATCATGTCTTTCAGTCCACCTCCTATAAATATCTGCCTTTTGATGTTTGATCCCAAGGAAGTCTTCTTCTTTGAAGCCTTTGGCTAGATCAAAATTACAACAGTTATTTCCAAGCCCAGACTATGACCCAGGAGCCTGGCTGAGGGATTCATATATGCGATCTCATCTCAGCCCCGCAACTGCTCAGCCAGACTAAGGTCACATCCCACTGTACAGATGAGGATGCTGGGATCCAGGTCACAGAGCTAGTTAATGGCTGGGAATCAAACCTGAGCCCATCCAGCTTCAAAGAGGCAGATGCTGGCCCTTTACCAGGAAGCTCTGCTGAATGTAGCTCAGTATGTAAAGGTTTCTTACTTTTAAAATATCATGATGAAGGCAAGGAAGTGATGCAGGGATAAACTGCCACGTATAAAATACAGTACCATTCTAGACACGGCTTTCCTTTAAGTGCGTTCCTGTGTCTTCACTGATTTAGTCTCCACAAAACCCCCAGGAGGCCAGCATTGTCTTTCTGCTCAGTTTATAGAGGAGGAGGCAGATAGAGATGTGGTCACTTGCCCAGCGTCACACAATCAGGAAGGAGCAGCAGAGTTGGGACTGCAACCCAGGAAGGCTTCCTTGCTTTCGATCCCTAAGCTACCACGCCTGGTCATTAAAATAATAATAATAATAGGGATGTCTGGGTGGCTCAGTGGTTGAGCCTCTGCCTTTGGCTCTGGTTGTGATCCTGGGGTCCTGGGATCGAGTCCTGCATCAGGCTCCCTGCTCTCAGGGAGCCTGCTTATTTTCTGCCTATGTGTCTGCCTCTTTCTCTGTGTCTCTCATCAATAAATAAAATCTTAAAAAACAAACAAACAAACAAACAAAAACGAATGCTTATGTTCACCTCCCTAGACCTTGTAATCACATCTATGGGATGGGCTGGTGTATCAGGCCATGTTAAAGTTTCTTCCAGCTTTGAAATGCCAACTAACTCACTAATAATAGCACAGAGCCAGGCTTTAGGGAACCTGGGAGGATGGGAGCACCGAGGAAGGACCACACTAGCTAGCTATGGGGGCACCAGTCACATACTGGGTTTCAGGAGGAACTTTCCTCTCCTGCTGAGTTGAGAAGAGTCAATTTGTTACCTACTGAACAAACAGCCCAGGCTAATAAAGAGCAGTATCACAAGAAATAAGCACTGTGTCATAGATACCGGGTGTCACACAGGGGTGGGGGGTGCCTCCAGTATTCCCACGGGAGTACTCTGGGCACAACCCATCCCGCCCAGCTCCTGGGGGAAAGGAAAGAACATCACCGAGATTTCTGACAAACTAGCAACTTTGTGACAAAGGCCAGCTGGAGCTACCCCTGTTCCTTCTGACTGTCCTGGGGGCTGCTAGGGGGTTCAGGAGGGAAGGGCAGGAGACCCATATTCATGCAGTGCCTGAGACAGGTGCCACCATCCTCCCTGATGCCCAGGCTCAGGTGGTAGACAGGTCTGCCCAAGGTCACACTCCAGAAAGCAGCAAGTCCCCCTCTCTCCACCACCCCTGCAGCCAGTCAGGGCTCAGGTCTGCTCTCAGCGCTGAAAAGCTTTCTTTTCTAGGCCAAGATTTCTTGAGAGAGTTTCCCCCTGGTGGAAGCTCCCTTTTGTCTCAGGGCAAGTGGTCTGTGGCCAAGGTGCACAGGAGCGAGCGCTGGGTGCCAGCCGCCTCCTGTGCTTCCTGGGGGCGGACGCAGGGGTCAGGGCCATCTCTGCACGGGCAGGGGCGATCCCCAGCCCCGCGTTAAAGGGTCTTTTAGTAAACAGGGGAACAGAGGAGACGTCCGGACGGAGGGTCCCCAGGGAGCCTGTTCCCGGAGCTGCTTCCCGATTTCTACCCTGAACCCAGCGGTCCTCAGCGATCGGGAAAGGGACTCGGACGCCCGCCGCCACTCACCAGCCGCGGGTCTCGGGGCCGCCGCGCCCGCCTGCCCGCCCGCGCCCGCGCCCGCACCCGCGCCCCGGGCCGAACCGCCCGCACAACGGCCGCCGGGCAGGCTCGAGCCGGCAGCGAGGAGGCGGAGGGAGGCGGAGGGAGGCGGAGGCGGGTCGCGGCCGGGCCGGCGGCCGCGGCGGGACGCAGAGACACTCACCTGGGCCGCGCGGGCCGGGCCGCGCAGGCCGCACCTGGCTCACCTGCGGTCCCCCTCCCGCCGCGCGCCCCCAGCGCCCAGGGGCGCGGAGGGGGTACGGGTGGCGCGGCCGGGGTCGCCGCTCGCGGGGTTGGGGGCCCTCCAGGCGCCCGCCCAGCCCCCGGCCCCGACCCGACGGCGCGCGGAGGCCCACCTGCAGGGCGCGCTACGGCAGCGGCGCGGGGAGCCCCGGCGGCGGCGGCGGCACCGGGCGGGCGCGGCGGCGGGGCCGGGTCGCCGGAGCCCCGGGACCGGCCGGCTGCGCAGCCATGGCTTCGCCAGGAAGTGCGAGGCCGAGGGCGGAGGCGGCGCGCGCGGCCAATGGCGGCTGCCGCGAGGAGGTGGGCTCAAGGCGGCGCCGAGGCGGGGCCTGCGCTCCGGAGGTGGGGGCCGCGCAGGGGGAGGCGGCGGGGAGGCGGCCGGGAGCCGGCGCGGGGGGAGGGGCGGGGGCGGCGGGAGTGCGCCGGGGGGGGGGGGGCGGTGGGGGGCGGGGGGAGGGGACCGGGGGCGGTGCGTCGGTAGGGCGGGGAGGGGAGGGGAGGGCGCGGGGGGTGGGGGCCCGGAGCGGTGCGTGGGGAGGGAGGGAGGGGGCGGCGCGCGCGGCCGGGAGCGGGGAATGGCGAGCCGGGCCGAAGCTGGGGGGCGGCGCGCGGTGGTGGGGGGCGGCGCGCCGGGGGGAGAGGCAGCGCGGGAGGGGGCCGTGCGCGGGGTCGTCAGGACTCCCACCCTGGGCCGCAGCCCCCCTCTGTCACCCAGCTGGCTCCCCGGCACGCGGGGCCCCCCAGGCTTGCACCTGGAAACTCCCGCTGGTACTGACCCGAGTGCTGAGAGGGGTCGCGCGGTGGCCTCCCGGCTCCCTCCCGCTCCCAGTCTTAGCCCTGCCGAACGCTGCGCTCACGCTCAGGTGAGGCGTCCGCCGACCCCTCCAGGTAGGGTCACGCCACCCCCCCCACTCCCGCCCCCGCTCTGCCCACCTCCAGCTTTGCGCTCTTACTCTTAGCACCCTCGAATATTACAAACCACTTTCTTATTCATTTGGCTTATTGTCTCTCTCCCCCGCTAGAAACCCTCCAGGACAGAGTTTACAGTCGGTTTAATTCCCGGCTGGGCCCCGGGACTGGTACATAGTAGGTGCTCAGTATTGAGTATTTGTGGAACAAATGAATTTAATCCCCTGGCAATCTGTGAATTGTCAGATTTATCTTATGCTACAGCATGGATGAACCTGGAAAGCATTAGGCTAAGTGAAAGTAGTCAGACACAAAAAGGACACATATTGTATGACTTTAGGTATACAAAGTGTCCAAAACGGGCAGGTCCACGGAGACAAAGTAGACTGGTGGTTGCCTAGGTCTGGGGAGTTGGGGGGATACAGGGTGACTCTTAAAGTATAAGGGTTTTCTTCTTGGGTGATAAAAATGGTCTGAAAAGGGATCCCTGGGTGGCGCAGCGGTTTGGCGCCTGCCTTTGGCCCAGGGCGCGATCCTGGAGACCCGGGATCGAATCCCACGTCGGGCTCCCGGTGCATGGAGCCTGCTTCTCCCTCTGCCTGTGTCTCTGCCTCTCTCTCTCTCTCTCTCTCTGTGACTATCATAAATAAATAAATTAAAAAAAATTAAAAAAAAATGGTCTGAAAATAGATGATATTGCTGGTTGCACAACTCAGTATACCAAAAACCATTGGATTTTATAATTTAATAGGGCAAATTTACAGTATGTGAATTATATCTCAATAAAACTGTTACAAATAACAAAACCAAACAAAGAAGGGGGGGAAAAACCCTGTCCTTGTTTTTCTATTCCTTGCCTTCTCTGGAAAGGATTCAGAGCATCTTTTGGGGCCGCATAAAGCATGGGTACATACAGCCACTGAAGGTGGGCCAGGAAAGAAAAGAAAAATAGGGATGGGGAGTCTGTGTGACCAGGCAAATACTCAAGGCTTGTCTTTGTTCTTTTTGTGCTAGACGCGACAATGACTGGGGCCCCTTCCATCAGATAATTCCCAGCAAGGTATCCTGTGGCCCCTGAGCAGCCTGGGCCAGGGTGCTGTCCCACCCTCATCATGCACCTTTCCCCAGAGGCTACCTGCCCTTGGGGTGGGGGTGTGTGTGGCCCTCACTCACCTCTGGTGCAAAGTAAGGGTGCAACAGTGATAGGAGCACTGCAGGAATCATGCCTACAGGAGGGGCAGAATGGACTGGGTAAACTCTTTCACTTTCTCCTGAGTGCCTGTCACATCCTGAGTCTGTTTCCTCACCTGTGAATGGGATCAAGTGAGAGCAGAGCCAGCCTGCCCTTCCCTCCCTGGTTCAGCCCACTGCACATTCACACCCTGCTTCTTTCTGAAAAGCATTACATTTATGGGACTTTAAAAAAAATTGCTTTTGGAGGCGCCTGGGTGGCTCAATTGGTTGAGCATCTGACTTCTACTCAGGTCATGATCTCCTCCGGGTCCTGGGATGAGTCCCTAGTCCTGCATTGGGCTCCCTGCTCAGTGGGGAGCCTGCTTCTCCCTCTCCTCTCCCATTCCTGCTCTATCTATGTCGCTGTCTCTGTCTCAATCAAAGAAATAAATACAATCTTTTTAAAAATTACTTTTGGTAATTGGGATTTGTATTAAATGTCACTAGTTTGTTAAGAAACAAAAGTACAGAAGGTGTCTTTTTTAATTTAAAGAGAATGAGGGTAAAACTAACCCTGGAACCACCTGGAGGATCCTTTGAGTGCTATGCTCACTGTCTCTTCACCTCTCTCCCCTCTTCTGTGGGGACAAGCACCCGGTCACCTTTCAATACTTTATTCAGGCATCATCTTTACTCTAGAGCCTTCCTTGCTCATTTTTGATCCTCCCTTGACCCATCTCCACCCCCAAAAAAGCTAATCCCAAATCTCATTCTATGTATCTTGACTTGTGAATCTCTGTTATTACTTGAACTCATTCATTCAACAGACTTTTAGGGACCTTCTACTACGTGCCAGACACCATGGTATGTGCTATGGAGAGAAAGAAGACATTTTTTTCAGGAGTTTCAGGGAGGGAGGCAAATAAGTAAATGAGTAATTACCATATCATGGCCAGTCTTGTGTTAGGGTTATATTTGAGGACTGTGAGTGGGAACTACTCTTTTTTTTTTTATAGCTGTAAAGATTCCTTCTCTATATATACACATAAATATAGTAGATGGATGGACAGATATAATACAGATAGTGAACAACATCGTATGTATCTCTATGTGTATATGGATATATTTCTGAGAGATTTAGCCATAGCTATTTCATTGTGAGAGCCTATACTTTGGCATTGACATCTGTCCATCAGGTGTTGGATCCTTTATGAATGAGAAGGTACACAACCTGATGGTAGGCCTGGAATAAGGGCCTGGAACAAGCCCTGGAATCCACCTTTGACCTTGGCCTGAAAAGTATGCAGATATGGCTCACCTGACTTCATCCTGTTTTCCCCAACACTTAGTATACCACCTTTTCACATTTTTTCCCCTCTAATATTTTCTCTCAAATCATAAACGTTCATGCTTCACTTGGGAACTTGGGAAAGACAGAAAAGTCTGAAAGGAAAAACAAGCCACTCACTTCAGCATCATCCCACAATAATCACTGTTAATATTGTTGTGTCTCCAGATTTTTCTCATTTAATTTCTTTACAATGCTAACAACACCACATACAGCTTGCTGTGTGCTAGGCATTGCTGAGCTCTCTGCAATGACTAATTCATCTCCCCTCCTTGTCTCTTTGAAGGAGGCAGTATTACTTTCTCTGCTTACAGATGGGGAAGCTGAGGCCCAGGGAAGATACATCACTTGCCCAAGGTCACAGAGCTTGGAGGGAGCAGAGCTGGGATTTGAACCCAGGCAGTCAGGTTCCACGGTCTGGTCCATAGGCCTAAACTAACTTTGCCCTCTGCATCCTCATGCCTCTGTGCAATGGTAAAAATGAGTTGGAAGTTGGAGACACAGACACCCACAAAAGGGAAAAAAATTGCCCACCCAAGGAGAGCAGCTGTCAGTACTTAAGTGTAAATCAGCCCAGTATGTTCCCCATGTATATATTCCCCACGCTTCTATGCAAATGAAGTCACATGGTACAGGCCCTTCCCTAACTGCCTTTTTCCCTCTTTTGCAAATATCATGAGTTCTCATGCCAGTGAATTTTCTACGATATGCTCCTCCAGTGGCATCTGATCCCTCCATCCTGATTGTGTGCACTTGACCCTCCCTCACTGCTGGGCGTCTGCCTGTTTCTGCTGTTATAAATAATGCCAGGTGAATATTCTTGCACACACACTTTTGTGCACGTCTCTAACAATAAAGCAGAGTTGCTGCACCAGAGAAGTATGTATTTGTTAGGCTCTAATCAACCCCTCAAAGGCTGTCCTAGTGGGTGCCCCCTGGCAGTGGCTCGGCACCCTGACACTTCTGAGACTTGGGCACCAGATGGAATCTTGGCCAGCTACATCATTTGCAGGATCTAGGGCAGAATGAAAACATGGGGCTTCCTGTTCAAAAAGGAAAAAAAAAACAATTTCCTTTCTTTGCAGTTTCTCTTGATCTGTCCTGGTGCTTTTTATGTGCTGTGTGCCCTGAGCCCTTGTGGGGCATGTGCAGAGCCTCGCTGCCCCTGGGATCATGTAATTTGGTGGGCAGGGCCCAGAGGTTTGGCTCTAAGCCATCCTGCACCTGTGCCCAGGTCCCTACTGAGTAAAAGTGATGTAAACCTGTGAACCAAGCCCACTAGCACATGCTCCATTGTCCCACTCAGCCTCGCTTGCATAATCCAAATCCAAAAAATAGTTATTAAGGATTTTAAGACAACCATCTCAGGGCATTAAACCCCCAAGTGGGAGGCCTGAGCATGGAGCTCTGTGAGACTGCTGGCCAGATGGGGCAGGTGGAATTGTCACCGAGGAGGGACATGCAAGACCCATGTTATTTCTATTCTCAATGCTTCATTACAAAAACATGTCACAGCAGAGTGCCCTTGTAAAGAACATGTCATCTGAATACACAAAATGGCAAAAAATGGGGTGGGGGTGGGTGAGTGGGGAGGGGCATAGGTAAGTGAGGCCCAAGTGAATGGCAGGTGATGCACAGGCCCTGCACCACACACTCGCAGTGGCCTG